CGGGCCGCCGGGAGCTGGGGCTCCCGTCCTGATCCCCTAGCCTGAGACCACGGGGCGCCCACCCCCACAACCCCAGCCGGGGCGCGTATCTGCGAGGGGAAGTGGGAGGAGACGCATGAGGCTGGGTCTCATTCTAACTTTTCCATCCCGTCTGGGGATATTGATGTCCCTGCTGGGGTTCCCACAGCCCGCGAAGACTGTTGAGATCCTGGAGACGTTTGATTCTCAGAACGGGGAGTCACCTGGAGGTGGGGGGTCGGCATAAGGAGGGCTGTGGGGGACAGGAGAGTGAGTCGGGGTCTTTAAACTTATTACCGGAGAAAACCGTCCCAGGTTAAGGGACTCTGGGGCAACAGAAGGGAGTCCTGGAGTTGTTTCAGAAGAATGGGATCCCGGAGCCCGAAAGCCAGGCACACACAGGGGCGCTGGTGTGTCACCCGCCCCCGGCCGCCAAGGTGGTAGACTTGGCAAGGTTCAGACCCCGGCCCGAGTCTCGTCCCGGGAGAAGATTGGGTTGGGGTGAGGGTTGTGAGCTGAACCTCGGGTCCCTGGAACCCCAACTCTGGGGCACCTCTAGCCGGAGGGCGCAGTTTCGACTGGGGCACCCCTAGCCAAGGGTGCTCTTTCAACGCATGCCCGTGTGTGTGTGTGTGTGTGTGTGTGTGTGTGTGTGTGTGTGTGTGTGTGTGTCTAACATTCGCTCCGTGCCGGCCGCCCGCTTACGCCCGCCGCCGCCGCCCCAGCTGGAGGAAGACATCGCGGCCAAGGAGAAGCTGCTGCGGGCGTCGGAGGACGAGCGGGACCGGGTGCTGGAGGAGCTGCACAAGGCGGAGGACAGCCTCCTGGCCGCCGACGAAGCCGCCGCCAAGGTACCCGGGCGCGCGGCGCGGCGCCGAGCACCACTGGCTAACTCTGTCTCTTTCTCTCTCCCTCCCTGTCCTTCCCTCTCGCGCTCCTGCTGTCCCTGTCCTTCTGGTTCTGTGCACCCACACCCCGCCCCTGCGGGATCACGCTGCCTGCTGCACCACCCCCCCACGCCACCCCATACCCCACGGCCAACTCCCAGCTGGAAGATGAGCTGGTGTCGCTCCAAAAGAAACTCAAGGGCACCGAAGATGAACTGGACAAATACTCTGAGGCTCTCAAAGATGCCCAGGAGAAGCTGGAGCTGGCGGAGAAAAAGGCCACGGACGTAAGTGCACGCTCACACTGATTGCGCTCTCACCTCCTGCCCGCAGCGGCCACTCTGGTCAGGGGACGGGGGTGGAAAGGAAAGACCCCACAGAGGCTTGAGAGCCAGTGGAGGAGGGGTACCTGCTGGTGCCAGACACCTGCACTCGGATCCTGCCATGGCCCAGAGCACTTGATGCCTTTCGGCTGTTGCTGCACACACAAAATATTTCACCTACTGCTCTCTTTCTGTTTCTCCTCTCCTTTTCCCTCCTGCAAGTGGAGGTGGGTGGGATGAGAAACTGAGAAAATGGAGCTCCTGAACTATTGAGTCTGGAGGTGAACTTGGCATCTGCTGTGGCAGAAAAGGCCAGTATCACCAACAAGGTCTGTGCAAGCAGAGAACGCCCAGTTCCCTGCATTGTCTTTCTTTTGCCATTGTTGGGGTCATGGTGGTGAGCATAGTTAAGGTACAAAGCACCTGGCCACAGGGATAGCGAGGTTCCCGTGGGGCACAGAGGTACTCTGAGCCTTCATACTCCCAAGAAAATCGTAATCCAGCCCTGAAGATCTGCCTGGGAAGGTGATACTGCTTGGGTCTGCAGTCCCAGGGCACCAGACCCAGGAGTTATATATAGCTCAGTGCTTTATATGGTATAGTGAGTTAACTGCCCCCCGCCCTACCCCCACCTGTCAGAGGGATGACAGGCACTGCATAGTTTCAGGGACAACAGCACCCAGGGCTCACAGCTCTGCTAGCATTTTGTGCACTGCCCTTGGAAATCTTTGGATCTGAAGAGCCTGCCTCTTCCGGGCCTTAGGAAAGTCAAGCCAAGCATTAGACTGCTAGCGGAGCAACTTCTTTTTCACACCATTGGATTCCCTTCTAACAGCTAATTAAGCCCAGGGACCCAATTAGAGAAAAATTCCTTGGGAAGTTGGTAACAATTCTGAGAATGTAAGAGCATCAGGGAAAGCCATGCCCAGAAGTGGAAACACCAAAGGCCACACACAGATTTTTTTTTTATTTAGAAAATTAGAATGCAAATTATTGGAGAGTGTCAGTTCTGAAATGAGTCAAGGCATTTTGTTGTTGTTGTTGTTGTTTTGTAGCAAAAAAAGAGTTTGACCTGTATCTCCCAGTTGTGGTTTATATGTAAGAAATCCAGACACAGGACATTTAGAATCTGACAGATGTTTTCAGTGAAAATCAAGGCTAACGGAAAGAGTGTTTGGGCAAGCACTGATTGAGCTCAAACGTTTCAGTTTCAGACTACCTGGCTTTAGAAAAAGAGCCAAAAAACACAAATCACTGAGCCTGCTTTACCTAATGCACATCAGATGTCTGCTCCGTGTATGGTTTCATGAAGGCCTGTCTCCCCCAAATTTTCCAGGAGGGCATTTCTTTCTTTTTTTTTTTTTTTTTTCCAAAAGAGCCACTGATAGATCCAGGGGAGATATTCCTTATAAGGAAAAGAATGCAAAGAATTTGAAAATAGCCCACTAAGGCTGAAGGCAAGAGAAGGAGGGGGCAAAAAATACTACTGCAATTCTTAAGGGGGGAAGATCATAATTAGTCTAACTATGTGGTGCTATCATGTCTTTATTGAAAAGTCTGGTTTAAAGGAGCCTTGGAATGGGGTGGGACAACATGGAAAAGAGGCTATTTAAAGTCAGCTGTGGGGGCGGGGCCAGCGGGGTTCCTGGGAAGCCCGGGACCTTTCCCCTTTTTGCTACTGGAAAAAAAACAGTCTGTAAATATGGTCTTCTGGTTTTGGAGACGGTATGAAGCACTCTTCCCTTTAGGTTATGGTGAGCCTTAAAGAGATATTGAAGAGGTCTCTAGAGTGATAGCTGAACTAGTCCCCCGCCCCCCCCAAAAAAGTCCAGGCTTTATAGGAGGGAAAGACAGATGTCATTAGAGAAAGGAGGAAGGTGGAAGAGAAGTTCTGTTCGCTGAGGGTCATTATTCATCAGTATAAGCCATTTCTACAATGTTCTATGAGTAACGGTGAGGAAACTTTTTCAGAAGTGTGTTCTTCTGGGGAGATTATCCCTGGGAAATGCTCCTTGTGGATGTTTTACAGTTTTACCACCTGAGTGGGGCTGGGGGAAAGGGAGGGGCCCGTTTTCTCTGTTCCTAGCCCATACCCCATTTTTGCCTAGGGTCTTAATTCCCCTGGCATCCATAACTACCCAAAGCTATTCCAACCTGTAAGCCAAGGCTGAGAACAACCTTCCTCCTAGACTCTTGGGGAATGACATCAGCTTGAAAATGAAGTCACCTGAAACTCACCCCCCCCCCAACCCCAGCACCCTCCAGGTGTTTGCAAAGCTGGACATTAAGTCACTGGTTGGCTGCCTGGGACGTTTGCCAGTGTCCAGAAGTTTCCGTGTTGGCTCCTGAAGGTTCCCAGATGCTCCCTTTCTACAAGGGCTGTGTCATCTGTCTGCCTGGGCCGGACCAAAGGGAGTGCGGTTTCACCTACAGGCTGGTGGCTCCACCTACAGGCTGGTGGCCGACGTGTCTGAGAGAATGAGGCAGGACAGCAAGGCAAGCAGGGTCACCCCACTCCCAGGATTTGAGGCCGCACGCTAGCATTTAGCCTTTTTATTTGTTTTTGGAGGTGATCCCACATTTCAGCACATTACCTTGAAGGAACTTGACTGGCCAAGGTGACACAGCTGTGGCCGGAAACTCTCTCAAGGGATTCTGGGGCGTGACTTGGGGCACCTTTTAAGGGAAGCCCCTTTATTGTCTCCTCCCTCCATCCGATTTTAAGAAGCCACACAGAGCCCTCACCCCTCAGATGCCCCGCGGCCAGTCTTCTGTCCAGTCCCCCACGGGGTTGGCAGGGACCCAGTTACTTCAACCAACCCCAAGGGTCCATCCTAGCCTGATGCCAGAATGGCGAGCCAAGGATGGAATCCAGGCCTTTTCCTGTAGGACTTGAGGTGTCCTAGCTACCAAATATTCACCCCAACCTTGCTCAGAATTGGTCAGATTCCAAGGGATCGCAAAAGCTGTGACCACAAAATGAAGTACCTAGACAAGAACTCTTGAGATGATAGTTTTTGTGAAAAAGCAAGGGGAGGTCCCCCAGCTTGCTCATCAGGACAGTGCCTGCGTTTTGACTACTCATTAGCGATTGTGTCCTAAGGGTGTGTGAGGTGTTGTGCTGAGCGCTAGATTCGCATTTATAATACAACAGCCAACAGGGAACGTACGAGCAGAGTTCCCTCTATTTTATTTATTTATTTATTTATTTATTTATTTATTTATTTATTTATTTATTTATTTATTTATTTATTTATTTATTTATCAGCTGAAGCCCATAGCTTTGCATTTATTTGCCTTAAATCACACAGCAGACTAGGGAACGAATTAAGAGCCAACCCAAGAAGGGACTGTGCTTCCAACAGGTGTGGCCGCTGTGCTCCGTACGTGAGCGAGGAAGTTTGGGGGTTTTGGTCAGGACTTGGCATTCTTGCAGGCGGTTTCCCAGCACGAAGCCGGGAGCCGGACGCCCGCGGGCTCCGGAGCGCAGCCCTGGGGCGGCCGGCAGGGGCCGTGTCCGCGGCTGCAGGCAGGGGCGCAGGGCCGAGGGAGCCCGGCGCCTCCGCAGTCCGCCAGGTGGCCCCCGCCGCGGCGCGCGCCGAGCATGCGCACTGCCTCGGGCGGGCTGCATATTTTCCCGGGGTCGGCGGGTGGCGAGCGCTCCGCCCCCGCGGTTCTCCTCAGCCCCGCGGCCGAACCGAGACTTCCGGGCTGCCGCTGGGGCCGCAGGGAGGCGCCGGCGTCGCACACCGCGGCCTGGGCGGGGCGCGCACAGCGGCTTTCAGTGGCAGCAGCGGCCGGTGCACCGCAAGCCGGCGTCTCCCCCCCCAACCCCCTATCCCCGACCGCCCCGCGCGATGGCGGGGAGCAGCTCGCTGGAGGCGGTGCGCAGGAAGATCCGGAGCCTGCAGGAGCAGGCGGACGCCGCGGAGGAGCGCGCGGGCAGCCTGCAGCGCGAGCTGGACTACGAGAGGAAGCTGAGGGAGACCGTAAGGAACCCACCCCGTCCATCCTCCCCATCCCCGGGGCGCACCTGGCGCACCTGGGCCAGCTGACGTGCGGCCCTAGGCTGAAGGAAAAGATGCCGGGGCGAGGGTTGAGGGGGAGCGGGCAGCAGGAGTGGTGTGGAGAAGGTTCTGGAAGCAGCGCTAGTAGCTCAGGAAGGGGCCCGTTTCTAGGGTGATGGCGTTCGGCGGCAGCCAGCCGGGTCCCGGGGATGTGCACAGCGCGTCTTTGGCATTCTGGAACCCTGGGAATGCGGGGAAAGGGCGAGGCCGGGTCGGAGGTCTCCCGCCTGCAGGCGTTTTTGTCGGGGGTGGCTGGGGCGCTGCCAGCGCGCCCCGTTCGTTCGTTCCGACAGAGAAGACTTGTGTGGGATGCCACCCCTCCTCTCAAAACATAATCTTTTGTTGCCGAGGCTTGGGGGTGTGGGGGCAGTGGGCCCCGGTATCAGCAGGCCTGGGGTGTGGGGTACCTGGCTTATTTCTTCCCCCGAAGCGAATGGAACCAACAGAAATGGGTTTTCGGAGGTGGTTGAGGGATTTGCTGTTTGTTGATTGGGGAAGGAGGATGAATAGGTGTTTTAAATCAAGCTTCTCAAACACCTGGGCATTTTATGAGCAGCGCTACTATGGTGTCCAGCTGGGTTAATGCACAGCGCTCTTTTGGGTTGAGTCAGCCCAACTGGTTAACTGTTTTTCATGACTGGGAGCAGAAAACTTAAAGACCTTTTTTCACACAAAGTACAGAGAAGCAGAGACGTGCGCTTTCTCAGGGAACGTTGCAGGTGAAAATACAAAGCCAGGGACTGGAAAAATCAATAGGCAAAAGATAATCATCCGCATTTGCTCTAGAGGGCAAGTCACTGGGTGATTGATTCATTGCCGCTCTGGCTCTGACTGGCCAGCTGCTGGCCTTGAACGCATGGAGGGTGAGAACTAAGTGGAAGAACTCTGGACCCAGGGCGGCAGGATTGGGGTCTTGGTCCCACCAGAGCCGCTGCTTACCTTCTCACAGCCTGGGTTCCCCGAGTGTAAGATGGGGATAGTAACAGCACATCTCTGGATACTCCAGGAATTGGGTATGTGAAAAAATGATGGTGGTGCTTGGTGTGACAGGGCTGGTACTGGGAGTGCCTTCAGCTCACAGCCTGGCAAGCTGGCTTCCCTGCAGGGTCAGGCACTACGTTTATGCTTCTCCCCAGCAGCTGGGGCGTTTTCCTCTGTGGAACGTGGAGAGAGGAAGTGGGCAGAGTGGAAGGAATGTTTGGTGGGTTGGAGTGGTATTCCCACCCCACCCTATAAGGAAAGGGCGAGTGTGACCTCCCCCCAGGCCAGCCTTGCCTTGACCCCGGCGCTGTGGCTGCTGCACCCGGAAGGAGCATTTTATAGAGGGAACATGTTGCTTTTACACTGCCCATCTGTTCCATCGTGTTTATTGCAGGACTGTGTAGGTGCCAGTTTGCTGAAGACACAATGCTTTTCTTCTTTCAAGCCTTTATGTCGTAGTTCCAAGTATTTTCAAAGTAATTTTTGGAAAGAGGTTTGTCTCCGTGATCGGAACCAGAACTTGAAGGCTGGGTCAGACTACTGAAGAGAGTGCTTCAGAGTCCTTGCTGACTTCTGCAACTGGCGTTTTAAACATAGCTGCTTTAGGTAGTTGTTAGACATAGCTTGAGTTTGAGTTCAGCTAGCAGTAACAATTCCACTTGGCAACAAAGATAAAGGTTTAGTGAAAAGCCGCTGTTAAACAGACATACATGTAAGATTTGGAGTGTTGGCCTAAAGGCCTAAATTCAGATACTCCAAGGTTCAGACAGACTGGCATTATTCTTTGGTCCTGTTAAACCAGCACTCACCTTGGGAAAAGTAGCCTTCACTTACTTCTTCCTCCTCCGTGTTTTCAGGGTGTGTGGGCCCATTACAATACTGCAGTGAGGCTACTTTCCTGGTGTGGTGGTTGACTCCAGGTCTTACAATCCCCTAGGGTTCTGTTTGGTTTTCATCATTTTTTTCCTTCTTTCTGGTAGTTGCCCAGCAAACAAGAACTTTCCTTTGCAGTTGGCAGGTTTGTCACTCGCAGCGTTCATAAACCCTGGGAAAGAACCAGTTTTCAAAGTCTGCCAGCCCTTTTCCCTCTTAGAACTGGTCTTTCTGGGAGCAGGAAACAGGCTTTGGCACTGGTATTGGCACTCCAGGGTGTCTGTGGGTGCACTGCGTGCTGTGCTCTCCATTTCCGCTTGGTTACCGAGGCAAGACAAGTGCCTGGTTGGTGTCTGGTCTCCCTCGTTATACAAGCATGCCCTGTAAATTACAGGCTTTGGCACAGATAGAGGAGGCTGTGTTTATCTGTTATGCATGGGAGTGCCCCTTAATGTCATCAGTATTTTTTCCCCCTCTCCTTGCCATATAAGGTCAGAAGTTTAGCTTGGGCTGTGGCCACTTGGTCTTACACAGCAAGTTGAGTGAACCTTTTTCTCTGTATAACTGCGGTTTGTGTGAACTAAAGAAATCTGACCTTTGACCATCTGATGTTTCCCTCTGGTTCAGGTTAGAACTTTGGAAGTATATTGCAGAGGGTTAATTTTTAGGCCATAATACTATTCATGTACCATCATCTCTTCTTATTAGCCTTAACTGAAATACTTTAAGGTAATGTTTTCTTTTTAGTTCTTATGTTAGCTCTAACATCCGGAATTCATGAGAATCTAGACCTTGCAAAGGGTTTTTTTTCTCCTCCAAAAATCTGGTTTGTAATAATATCTGCCAAGTTGAGGTGGGCATGTCCTGGATTTCTGTGTAGGTAACCACCCCCCCCACCTGTTGGAATTAAGGAGCTCTAAGTTGCCTCACCAGTGTGGAATGCTGACAGTGGTCTGATGCCAGCCCGCAGGTAGTTATTAACAACAATACAACAGTGTCACTTCTAAGTACCGCTTTTTGACTGCCTTGTTGGGAGAAAACTAAGGCATTTTGCTAAGAGTCATTTGCATGCTCACAGACCATTTGCATCTGAGCTCTTGACCCTCCCCAAACTCCTTGTTACTCCTCTCTGCTTTTAAATAGACAGTCATGTGTTTGTGGGCTTGCCTTGACCAAGGCAGCAACAGGTTCCAGACACTGCCCAGGTGCTGTGATGCAAAGAACCTTAGGAAATGGAAAACATACCAGAAAGAAGTAAAAGCTGGTGAGAGGTGTGGGCTTTTAAAAAATAGAACATCATGGAAAGACAAGATGCAAAAGAAGGAATTGCCCAGGAAGAAATGACAGAGTGAGCAGTATCCAAAATTCCAAGCACCCAAACAGAATTTTAGCTGAACCAGTACAACAGATCCTGAGGGACCGGTTGGAATTGAGATTTTCTCAGGGGAAGCTGTGTAAGGACAGATGCACCTCAGCTGCTCGCGTAAGCAAGTGCCTCTGCCCTCCTGCTCCAGCACCTTGCAGCAGTGGGCTTGTCAGCATTTGCATGTTACCCATTCCTGGTGTTGGAGTTTTCCATTCTGTGTCCAGCCATTTTTTAGAGCAAATTGAGATGCTTCATGAAGTGGATGCTGCCCATGGCAGTAGCTGATCTAATCCTGACTGGACTCTGTGCATGCACTGTTGAGAGCAGCAGTAGGGTGCCTGAAGAGAATCCAGGGGAGAATTGCTGGTTCCAAGGCTCACCTGATGGTCTGGACAACACTAATGCTGTGTCTGCCCAGTATACCAAAACATCCGGGGATGCTTCCTCCCTGTTAGTACAGCACTAGATGAGCAGTTCCAGTGGGGCTTGCCTGCTGCTTTGGGTGGTGGAGGAAGGGAATGCTTATTTCCAGTGCAGATCCCTCCCCTCCCCTATGGCCTTCTGAACCAGGATCTCTAGGGAGATGGTCTGGAAGTTTGTGTTTTTAATACACATCTCCTAAGTTGATTCTGACACCCCACGGGTTATGGGAACTGCTGACCTTGGCCACGTTCAGGGAACCGCTAAGCTGAGAAGTATAGGCTCCATTTTACTAACTTAGAGGGGCTCCTAGGGAAGGCCAACCAGCCAGTAGGGCTCCTTTCTGAATGCTTCCTGCAGACAGGTCTCCATTCCCTGTCAGCAGGTACTCTATGAGCCCCTGCGGGCTGCTGTTCCTATGGGACTCATCCCCTGGTCACAGAAACAAAATTTACAAAATGTTCCTGAGGTGAGCAGGAGTGATGTTTTCAAAACAGCATCCTGCTGAACACAGCGTCAAGAGGCATGGGAAAGAATAGAGGGAGGGTAGCAGTAAGAGGGAAGAGACAGAATAGAGTAAGGGGACCCCTCAGAGGCAGGAATAAGCACATCTTTGGTGTCCATCTGGGTAGGACACTGAGGACGCAGGGTCAGCTCTTGCCTCAGAACATAAGCATTTTCTTGTCACAAGCACAAAATCTTCAAGGTTTGGGCCAAGTCTAAGGCAGATCAGAGAACTGAGAACATACTGGCTACAAAAACATGTCCAAAGGCTTGTTGCCCTTTCTGATAGGCTGCAACGTGTATACTAAGGGTATTTATCTTTGTATTAAAGAGCAAGAGAAGAAAGGACAAAAAGAGACTAATTTGGAGTGTGCAGCCTAGATGCTCTTCAGAAGTTTTGTCATTGTTGTGAGGCTTGCTGGTTGGTTTTTTTCTTGTTTGTTATTTATTTTTGCTATTCATTTTTATGTTGCTTGTTTATTCCCCTGTTCATAAAAAAGAGTAGAATTTTACTGGAAATTGAAACTACAAAAGGTAAGGAAATATAACATAAAAGTATGCTCCTATGTGTTCCCATCCTTCCCAAAAAAAACCTTTTTTTTTTTTTAAGTTCTTTAAAAAGCAATTTCCTGTACTTAAAAAATGTGTCGTTGCTACTGTCCACCCTCGCTGGGCCAGATTCTAGTTGCACACTAGTAATGACTGAGTTTGCGAGCCACTGAGGTTGTCACTGTGCCTCCCTGGATTCTTCTCCCATTTGCTCTGCTTTGTTGCAGTAAAAGTGTATTTAAATGTCTTCAGAACCTTTCACCGTGGCTGATAATGACCTATTCACTATCTTTGACCAGATAAAACTGGGCGTGTAGCCTCTCATAATCACGTGTGTATTTCAAGTTCTGTGTATCATGAGTCCATGAACTAAGGAACATTGCTTCTGTTTAAATTAGGTTGGTTTCACTTGTTCATCAGATATTTATTGAGCCCATCCAATACAGAGAACCATGATTTCCTTGGCAATGTGGAGCTGGCAAGTGATAAAATGGATGGTCAGTCCCAGAAGTGTTCTGTGGAACAGCAGATAGCCATTGCATCCTCAAAAAGGAAACATTTTATTTCAGAGATAAATATTATGTTACACTAGTGTCTGCTTGTCTCTGAAGCAGCTGATACTTTCTTAGAGCAGCCTTGACTTCTAACAGAAGGTTCAGAAGGCTTGGGTCAGAAAATGTTGGAAAATGTGTCTTGGTCCTTTCTCAGTGTGACCAGTTACTCTAAAAGGGTTAACTGAAAAGGGTGCTGGGGAGAAGTGGAATTAATGGGTTGTATGGGATCTCTGGATAGTGTATCCCACTGCATTTTAAAATATTTTAGTCCCCATATAAGTCTCCTTTTAGGAAAGTGGCTGGGAGACAGAAGGAGGACTCCGGACTGTGACAGCCATTGTACTGTGGGTGTCCTTTGAATGATTGAGACCCAAGAATTTCCTTGTCTCTGCCCCAGTTCAGGATCTGGGGCATGAGGTAGGAGTAACAGGCTCTCCGTAAACAGGCAAGTAAAACTAAGGTATTGGAATCTAAGGAAGAGCTGGGCTAGCAGAGACGCACGCAGGTGGATTTATGTATGCATACATATAAATGCTCACTGCAAGCACCAAGATAGGAAAGTGTCTGAGAATTCCAGCATTGACCAGGGCCAGGCATGCACTTATAGTGAGCTCACCACAGGCCAGACTTCCTGTCTGAAACAGTGAAACAGCTTTTCAGTCCTAGCCGCTTCCTGCAGGCACCGCCCTCACTTTCTCCCCACCTTTGTTTCTCTGCCTAGGCTGAAGCCGATGTAGCATCTCTGAACAGACGCATCCAGCTGGTTGAGGAGGAGCTGGATCGGGCCCAGGAGCGTTTGGCCACAGCTTTGCAGAAGCTGGAGGAGGCCGAGAAAGCGGCAGATGAGAGTGAGAGGTGAGGACGCCACAGCCAGCCTTGTGGCACAGCCTTTCACTTGGTGGAGTGAGCCACAGGGCTTCTCTGACTTCTGAGGTTTATAGATGGTACAGTCACTTGGCAGGTCCTGTGCCCAGATGAGCCCAGATGAATTTGGTTGACTTTGTTTTTCATTTGACGTTAGTGGAACCTCTACTGTGGACAGGGTGCTGTTATCAGTGGCCTGGTCACAAAGAAAAGGGAGATATTCACCACTTCAGAGAGCTCACCACCCATCCAGGAAGACAGATAGCTGCTGGTTTCTTAATTTGTAGCAACCTCTAAGTACCATGTGGTTTTAAGTATGTATAACTGTATTTTAAAGTTCATCAAGGAGGCCTAGTTAAAGGAACTGTGGAATTTCAGTGCAAAATAGGTCAAAGAAAAAGCACAGATAAAACAAATTTCTGCAGAAGTTAGTTATTTTAGGCATGGACTCAAAACATTTAAGATCCATACACACACACACGCGCGCACACACAGAAACTCGCCATTTGTGAGCCCGCCTCCCCCCGCCGACTTATCTCTCTGAGATTTCAACCTTGTAGTAAGGGAGAGCACGGGTACACGTGGATCAGCATGCCTGGTGCCTTCTGGAAGGCATGTTCTCATCTACTCTGCCTTTCCAATTAATGTGTCTATCACGTTGCATAGAGAGACCCTGTGAGACTGCATGGTACTGTCTGAGGAGTTAGCATGGGAGTCGGGATCAGAAGGCTGCAGGTGCATCTCTGCTGTGACCTGGGCAGCTCGGCGTTCTTGGTCATCTTGCTCGTTTCTCCATCTTTGAAGTGGGCCTGTGAATAACACAGTGTATTTAGACTTTGGCTAAGAAATTTTGTCCTAGTTTCCAGCTCTTTACTCACCATTGTTTAATATTTGTTTGGTAACTAAGAGAGTTCTTTAGGTTGCCTCATGATCTTTTCTAATGTCTGCCTTACTTGAAAGGCAGATTTATAGAGAAAAGGACGAGCAAAAAGGGGAATCTTTCATCCACGATTCATTCCCCAGATGGCTGCAAGCAATCAGGGCTGACCCAAACCAGAACCAGAAACTTCTTCCAGGTCTGCTATATGAATGCAGGGGCCCAAGGACTTGAGGCATCCTCTACTTCTTTCCCAGGCCATAAACAGGGAGCTGGATCAAAAATGGAGCAGCTGGAACATGAACTGGCGCCCATATGGGATGAAGGTGCTGCAGGCAGAGGATTAGTGTGGTACGCCATTCACCAGCTCCAACATTTTGAAGTAGACCAGTCCATAGCTCCACATGCAGTCTGGTAATGTTAGATTTCAGAGTGAAAGGAACTTGAAGGTCACTGACTGCAGCCCGCTGACTTTACACCTGAGAACACAAGAGCTCAGAGACTAACTTGGTCTTGTCATTAAAACCATGTGAATTGCCACTTTTATAGATATGAGATATTCGGATAGCAGTAGTTTAATTGCACTAGTCTAATATTTTCATCTGCAGTAGCTGGGGTAAGAATTTGCCTTATAATGAGAAGTGCCTGAAGGTGAATTTACTTTTGTTCTAGCTTTGGTCTGCTTTCAGGCTAAGCTTCCCATAATAAGGGGGTGAAACCCCATTACACATTTAAGCAGGGAAGAGTGTTGGCTCTTCCTGTTTCCATGCCTCCCACATGGGAACAAGATCTTGACATACAGTACCTTTCATGTACTGTCAGATGATGCCTGGACAATTTCATTAGTATCATGCTGACATTTCACTTAACAATGGACAGAGATGTGTCTTTTTTTCTGCTTTTAGCTCTGGAAAGTCTTACTTCGTGTTTGGGAAATAAAAGTGCCTCTGTGCTCATGTTTTGGACTGCCATGTGTACCAGGCCTCCCAGACCACAGTGTGAACCGAGAAGTCTGCTGCAAATCTTGGGTTTTCTCACTTGCCTTTCTTTTCAGAGGCATGAAAGTCATTGAAAGCCGAGCCCAGAAGGATGAGGAGAAGATGGAAATCCAGGAGATCCAACTGAAAGAGGCCAAGCACATTGCTGAGGATGCGGACCGCAAGTATGAGGAGGTCAGAGCCTGAAGCCTGAGGCACACAGATGCCCAGTGTGTCCTGAGGGAGCCAGTGTGTGATCTGATTCCGAGCATAGGCGTAATCAGGCAATTTTAAGCAGTGAAATTCTGTTACCTCTAGTAAATGGTTCTTACTTTGATCCTGCTAGGGGATCCCAGGCTCAATCATGAAGCCAACCAGGAACACTAGGAAGAATCAAAACTCCCCTCACCTTGCCCACCCAGAGAGCAGGACACAAAAAATCTTCAGCAAGGAGAAGCAGGAGTTGGGCCTGTTAGGAAGGGAAGGTCTGGTTGACCTAAGCCATTTGGTTGAAACAGCTTAGGGACCAGGGGCCCTGTTCCTCTGAGAGTAGAACCACACTGGTGAACCTGCTCCTGGTCCTGTCCCCGTGAGAACAGAGCCAACCTGCCCACCGAGGTTTTGATTTTTCCTTATTGTGTCCCGGCTTAGCTGTCCTGAAGCAGGATGCTATTAATATCTCCAGATTGTGCTGTGCCCACTGATTGTGGACTGCTTCAGAGGATCCCTTCTCTTCTCTCTTACCCTGAGTACGGATAGGGCTTTGTGGGTTGTCTCACCAGCTCATCTCCTCTTGTCTTCTCCTGCCTTCTTAACTCCCACAGAAAATAAAGCTGATTCACAGAGCGCTAAATTGATGGAGCTCTTGGGGTTATTTTCAGTGTCTTCTTGGCAGCCTCCAGTATAAAATACATCACATCTCCTCTTACTGCTGTTTTTGAGATGGTGAATTTCCTGTTTCTCCCTCTTCCCATGTTCAGTGCTCACTGCTATATAATTACTCAGACTCCATCTGAGTCGGGCATCCTGTCACGACCACCCAGTGAGAACTGACCCTCTGGGACCTCTGCTGCCCCTCTGCTGCATTCCTGATGGAGAACTAGTCCACCGCGATCTGATCCCCAACCCCACAAAGCGTGCCAGCCCCATGGTGTATATGTATGCTGTGTTTGTCCTGCTGCAGGTAGCCCGCAAACTGGTCATCATTGAGAGTGACCTGGAACGTGCAGAGGAGCGGGCCGAGCTCTCCGAAGGGTAAGCAGGACCAGCACCAGGAGGCCGTGTGTGGGGTGCTGCAGAGCAGTGACTAAACAGCATGACCGTCTGGCAGCTGCGCATTGACCTGTTTCGGCTCCGGGCTCCTCCAGTGCTCACCGGATGGGGATGAGCCATGATAAAGGAACATGGAGGACTCTCATGGGGTGTCTGTGTGTGAATGCGTGTGGCACTGCATGCCTTACCTGCACACTGATTTTGTGAATGGCCTTGTGCATTTCCTGTGTCCACTAACAGCCAAGTTCGACAGCTGGAAGAACAATTAAGAATAATGGATCAGACCTTGAAAGCATTAATGGCTGCAGAGGATAAGGTACTGATGGCTCATGTATGGTTTTTAGGTTTAACCGCAACCCAGACATCTTTCAGCTTCCCATGCCTACTGGTTTGTTGGGTGTAACGACTGTGCCTCCACCCAGCCCTCTGCTGTTTATATCTCGCTTTAAGTGCTTTCTCTTGGTCCTTTATGCTCCTTTGTTTTTCCCTTCATAAATGCTCCTTGGGGCAGCCAAAAAAAAGGGCAGCCAAATGATCACACTTATCACTCGGATTTTGGATTTTGTCACCCTGCCTTAACACCCTGTTATGAGGTCAAAGGGCAGTGTCCACGGCCGCACCAAGCGCTTTGGTACCAGATGGTTTGGCTACTTTAAGGCAGCCCTTAATCTCTGGGACTCCATTTTCATGTTTTCCCATCCCTCTCCTTTTTCTCTCCTTCTCCCTTGGGCTTGGCTCCCACCTTTTCTGCCTCTGAACGAAAACATTAGCAAATGTGCCGAGCTTGAAGAAGAATTGAAAACCGTGACCAACAACTTGAAGTCACTGGAGGCTCAGGCTGAGAAGGTAGGCCAGGAGCACGCCGTGGGGCCTGGGCCTCTGATGTTGTCCTCCCTGAGGCCCTGCTGACGGACATCAAAGTGGACATGTTCTAAATGGCAGTGTTTTGTGATCCCCTGATGCTTACTGGCTAAGAGTCCTTTTGGTTTTTAAGAGTATATTTCATGGGGGAATGTGAATCATCCAGTTAATTTTTCTTTCTTAAGATTTATTTTCTTATTTATTTGAAAAGCAGAGTTGCAGAGGGAGGGAGAGAGTTAGATCTTCAGTTTGCTGGTCTACTACTCAAATGGCCACAACAGCAAAGGCTGGGCAAGGGCAAAGACAGGGGCCCGAAGCTTCTTCCAGGTCTCACATGTGGGTGCAGGGGCCCAAGCATTTAGCTGCCTTCCACTGCTATCCCAGGTGCATTACCAGAGAGCTGGATTGAGAGTGAAGTAGCCAAGTCTCAAACTAACATGCCCATAGCAGGCAGCAGCATAATCTGCTACGCTAAAATCCTGGCCCCTCTCCATTTAATTTAAACCAAGTGCCAAACAGATAAGTTATCATGGTCTTATCCCGTGCAAAGCAATAGGCAGGAAGGCAGAGGATGTATTGTCGCGTGCCATTTGATTCCGGAGGTTCCGTTACCTCCCGAGAGATCTGTAACATCTGTTGGCTGGGACTGACACATCCTCTATACACGAAGGGATCAGGTAGTGATCCAGAGCCTGACATCTGGAACGCTCTTTCTAATTACAGTACTCACAGAAGGAAGACAAGTATGAAGAAGAGATCAAGGTGCTTTCTGACAAGCTGAAGGAGGTAATATTCTAGAGTTTGGGATTTCCATGAGTTTGTTTTCCTGGAGCTAGTGGGGGTGGGGGGACTGAAGTTAGTGACCCAAGGCAGTCTTGGAGTTCCTGTGCCATGCTGACCTCTGTGTCTCACAGTGATGAGTACCTTCAGACCCCTTGTATGGCGGAGGATGCCTGAAGACCATCCCCTCATTGTACCCATATTTGTAGCTACAGGTAACGTAAAATGTCCCTGCGTTGACCACAGTACGTTAAATCATTGCAGGCTGAGACTCGGGCTGAGTTTGCAGAGAGGTCAGTAACCAAGTTGGAGAAGAGCATTGACGACTTAGAAGGTAAGATGTGCAGCGGTGTCTTTTACCTTGATCCTTAGAGTTGAATACTGACCCAACAGAACGGTTTTGCAGTCCAAATGTGCCCCCCTTGGTATACTTCTTTGCTCTTGCACATTCTCCCTGTCTGTCCTCTGGGTTTTCACCTATGGCTCTTTCACTCTCAGACCTGCGCGCACTGCTCATGAGGTGACTCTTCAGCCACCGGACAGGGCATGTCCCCTTCTATAATGGCAGCTGCCACCAGCTTCCCCTCATGCTCGTCAGATGTGGAACAGGTTTATTTGTCACTATGAGGAGCATGTGAAAGTGACTCCAGTATGTTTTGTATCTTTAATGATAGCTCCTCATTATAGAATAACAGGATTTGATTGGTTTTTATTACTCACAGCCCATCATTTTTCAAGTATGAACTCAGTGTAAGGATTTGAGCTTTTTTTAAAGATTACTTGTTTTCTTAAAATCATTTGTATCTTGAAAAAAATCAATAGGACTTTGTATTTTAAGGTTATTTGTTTTTAGTTGTTTTTTTTTTTTCAGACTGTAGCCTATTTAAGTGATAATGTAAGCTTTTTTGACATTTTGTTTTATTATATAGTTTCATAGATTCTGGGGTTGCCCATGCCCTTCTCCAAGGTCCTTCCCCCTCACCCTTAAGTTTTATTTTGATAAGGCCCACTCTGGCTTATAGAAACCCTGAATTTTGAATTCTGAGGTTTGTGCAGGATTAGCTAGAAAGCACGAGAAAAAAAAATGTGCCTACATTGCTGGCAGAAGGAGCTGGGGAAGAACCTGGGGGTTAGTACAGATAAAAAGCAACAGGTAGTAGGTAAGAGGGGACGAGAGGTGCTCAACAGTCTGACTGCCTCAGTTACAGGCTCTCCTCTGTCAGGCAGCTCATGCTAGGAGGGCACAGGATTCACAGAAACGCCACTAAGAAATTTATGTCCCCGTTGTCCAGCTCAGCCAGGAAGTCAGTGCCTCAAGGCTGGCATTGATGCCAGATAAGGGTTATAGACTGATCACAAATCCTCCTTCCAAAACACTGCTGTGGGTGGTTTTTTTTTCATTGTTTATAGCTGCAGGTGGCTATCTACTCTGATGTGATTAAAATATAGCTCTGAAAGAGAGATGTTCCATTCTTCTGTGGTTTTGTTCAGGATTGAGCATAGTTTGCTGATGTACCCGCCATATTTGTTATGATTTTCATATGCAGTCTTTCTCATTTTTATTTTCTAATGGGTTTTGTTCTCTTTGTTTTTTGTTCCAATTCATTTAAAAATCAAACGCACGCCTCCTGCATTGGCCACCTGCCGCGGCACCAACCCCTCCATGCATTGCCCTTTTCTTGCTGCTGTGTGGGGATGGCTCCTGCGCCACCCTCGCTCACCCTCCATCTCTTGGTCACTCTCCATGTCCTTGCACCTCTGCCTTCCACTTCCTGGTCATAGACGAGCTGTACGCTCAGAAACTGAAGTACAAAGCCATCAGCGAGGAGCTGGACCACGCTCTCAACGATATGACTTCCATGTAAATGTTCATGCACCCTGCCTGCTCGCCCCAAGCCCTCATGCTTATGTGATCAACTCACAGCTACTGCTTCCTCACCCATGACCTCTGTCTCTGCACCCTTCCGTTTGCTCTTGCATAACCTAGAAAAATCCATGTTTGACTTTCACGTTCTAATGCAAAGGCCAAATACACCAAATCCATCTGTGCAGACCCTTCTTTCAGAACCCCTTTATTTTGTAAACACTGAAGTAGGCTGTCACTCCTCCACCCCCAGGAGTGAATGACCTTGAATACTATCCTTTTAGGAAATCAAACTAGAAACTAGATTCCAGCTCAACTGGAAGGCTCTGTCGTTGTACAGGAAGCTCTTGAAATCTCAAAAGTTGGCCTCCTGAGATTCAGTGACGTACCATATTTCTTTTCTTTCTTAAATAAGTAATAGCCGCCATTTCAGGGAGCTTGTCAACGCTGCCGCAGGGGTGGATCCTGAGCTGCGGAGGCCGCTATCCTGCTCTCCTGCACAGGCCCCTCTAATCCCGTTGTTTCTTCTAGATTCGCTCAGGCCTAGCTGCCCTCGAAGCCAGATATTCGGGCTGGGTGGTACCGCGGCCTGGGCCTAGGGGCTTAACTAGTAGTGGCAGCGGCGGCAGCATCGGAAGCAGCCTTAGCATCCATAGCCCCTTCTCACATAGGAGCAGCACAGGCGCCCGAAAACCCAAACAGCTGTTTAGAGAAAATGGCAGATGATATTGAAGCCATGCTTGAGGCTCCCTACAAGAAGGAAGAGAGTAAGTTGAGCAGTGCAAACGGCCATGAAGAACCTAGCAAAAAAAAAACCACTTTACATTTAAAGTTTAGATCTTCATCAAATCCATTTATAGCAAAACACCTTACAGCAGAGGCCATATAACCAAAAAGTCCAAAGACCCAACCCAGTGGACCATTTATTTCAGTGATGTTCAGTACAAATCCCCACTGCCACTAAAGACTTTGGAAAGTCCTTTTTAAGTTGTAACAGGATTTGACTATTTAAAAGAAAATGTTGATACAGAGAAAGCCTACAGTATCACACACTGATGGTGCCAGGAAAGGGATGCTAGGGATGCTAGCATGATCCAGGCCACCTAAAGAATGGCGCTGGAAAAGGGCATATCTTCCTCACTTTGACGAATTTTAGGGCAAAATGAACTCTTTGCTAAGGAACCGAAACTTTATATTTACTACAAGAAATGAGAAAGCTTTCCCCCATTATTGTAAAGCCCCCCCCCCCCACACACACGTAAACATTTATCACAACTTTTAAATTAGAATCATAAAACACAGATGGTACAGTCTGCATGAGGGAGTCTGGCTGAAGTTTTCGTTCTGTCAGCAGCAAGAGTTGGAGTAGCCTTGTTCCCAGGAGCAGTGCCTTGTGCATGATTGGCTGATCACCCTCACTAACCAGGTGTGAACATGCACTTATGCCGTCCAGTAGACCCTGTGTCACAGAAGGTTCCTCACACTAATACTGTACAGAACCCTATGAAAGCTAGAAATGCCATTTGCTTTTCCCCTTATAAAAACGGATAGCTTGAAGAGTGTAATGTGTACCTGCTGCCTTAGAGGTTATAAAATCTGCACCCCCTATCCCAACTTCCCCCAAAAATAAAGCCCTGAGACACATGACCATAATCATGGAAATGAGACTGCTCCATCCTCTCTTCCCCTACTTATAGAAGGGGGTGAATCCCAGCATCTGTCTCTAAGGTGTATGTCAGTGCTAACACAGGGTGATTATGTGGGGCAAAGTCTTCATAGCAAATATAATTAAATATTCTCAGAAGTGCGCTTAGCTTACTTTGAAATTCCATCCCAGGCCCCTTGCCTTAAGAGGGTCTGTGGTAGGTCTGGGTGTAAGTAGACAGAGGTGGGCCATCCTCCCGAGGGTGCAGCTGGCAGTGAGGTGTGCATGTCTGCTGCTTGCTTGTGTGTCAAGTGCTACTCTCATCTGGCAGTTTGATTTCCCATGTTTCCATTGTGCCACTGTTTTTTTTCTTTCCCACCTTTTGTCTTCACGCAGATAAGTTTCTTAGCTTCACTCCTCCCGAGACTCGTGCGGCAAGCTGGGTGTCCCACCTCTCTGAGCTCTGCGCTTGTCTGTCCTCCAGCTGCCCCTGTGGTTTTCTCTCTAGCACCTGCCCTAGGCCCAGGCACACCCTGTGCACTCTATTGTACAGAAGCTCTTCATTTCAGTGTAAAATAAACACTGTGGAACCTGTTCCTGTTTGCTCTTCCTTTTACTTCTTATTTATTGACATTTTCATTTCAACACTGAATAAAACCACAAATCTGCTTCACGCATATGAAGGTTAATTTTTGCCTGCTTTTTTTTTTTTTTCTTCATTCTGGACATTGTATGTTAATGTCAGGAATTTCTAAAGCAGTAGTTTCTTGTGGGAGTTAAAAAAAACAGCAGCCTATGCTTGCCTCTCCATAGTTTTGGATTGCAAACATGAGGGTGGGGCCTGGACACCTGTGGGTTGCTTGGGCGCAGTGGTGGCTGTGGTACACAGTATGGTTTGGAAAGAGGGTGGTGTCTAGTGAGTCGGAAGAACTGGCTTGAGTAGTGCCGTGTTTCACCAGGGCTTCCTTCACCTGGGAGTGCCGGTGACACCCCAGCTGGGTTGCCACTCATGTGGCCTGCATGAGAGGGAATGGCTAAGCAATAATAGGAATACCACACACTGCTCTTAGGCCAGAAAGATCTCAGATACACACACACAGGCTAAGGGATGAGCACTGCTACCCATCATTCTGTAAAGAGTTCAGACTTTCTCAAAATAAGTTTTTTACTTGACCCCTTCCTCTTTATGGGGAAAATGACAATCTTGAGCTTTCTTAAATGCTGCTCAAGTTGTGATTTATTTATGTACTCTTCAGCACATCATGTATTCTTTAGGGGTTTGGCAGACATCATCCTTGTGTTTAATGGCTGTACTTTCCCTACTGAATATATTTAAAATAGAGCCATTAAACATTGATTTCCTCTACCACCAAAGAAGCTGATAGAAATTGCTTAGAATATTGTTGTGTTCTGTATTTGGGCTTCAGCATTTTACTTTACAAACAATGATAACTTTAAAATAGTGGAGTTTTAATGTTTCTTCAGCCCCCACGCTTCCCCTTCCTCAACTGTGTTTATCCCGGGTTTTGGGTGCTGGTGATCCTCCTTTGTGTACAGCTTGTGTTAGCCCAAGAGGGCTGATAATATCGTTGCGCTCAAAGAATTTGAGATAAACCCTGAAAATAGTGTACCCACTATACAGAGACTTCACGGAGAGAAAAAAAAAAAAAAGAGGGGTATGAATTAAAATAATTTAGTGTCACAAATCATTTAAACTGTGGAATCTGGACAGTGAAAAACAAGTCTGGGCGAATATTCAGTTAATTCTGGAAGCACTTGCGGTTTGGGGAGGCCTTTCCAGAGACTCTCACACTATGCTGGGAGGCAGGCCTGGAGCAGCCAGAGAAGGTGGGTGCAGCACAGGATAGATGGCACAGTGGGCTGACCATGACACTGTTGGAGCCCTTGGAGCCCAGGGCTCTGGCTCAGAGTGCCAGTCCCCTGCGAGAGCCTCTGTTAAACCAAACCATGGCTTTTCTCAGTCTGGGCCTAGAGACCTTGGTCACCTAGGAAACTAGGTAGAGCAGGAGGAGGAACACATGCAAGCATAGGAACCTATCAGGTCCCTGCCCTTGGGCCACGTAAGCAGGCTCAGGGACCTGTCAGGCCTAGAGACCTCTGTCATTTAAGCTGAAGCCACATTGGCACCCTCAATTCTCTAAGGTTTCCTCAAAGTTCTTCCCTTATTACCTGGGCTTCAGCCAGCTGAGGCATCCTGCCTGCTCCTGGCAGCAGTTGCCTGTGACATAAGATGAATATGGTTATAAGGGGTTTACTTTCTGCAACTTCCACAAGCATCTGGGACCACCTGGGAGGTTCTAGGGGTGTGGTGAAGAGGTGAGCCAGAAATGTTGACCATGAGGGGCTTGGCCATCTTGTAGGGAGAAAGGGAGATGAATGAAACTAAACTCCTTCGTTCTGCCAACAAGGAAGAGAAAATTACGGAGAAGTGGGGGCACTGCCTGGAAGAAGTGACATGGAGCAGGGTTTGGAATCCCTGAGCATCCCGCGCTAGTATCTGGCCCCATTGCCTGCCATATAGGGCAGAAAGTTAACACGAGAACTTCCAAGTCTGTCTCCCAACAGACCTGGGGCTGTAGGTGGCACATTTCCCACAGGGGCGGAACTGGCAGCCTTTTTTAAGATCCAGTGGTAGAATTCCTAGGTCTGTCGTTGAGAACAGTCAGGCATGCCCCAGCTTTTCCTGGGGGGGCACCTCGCCCTTGGCAATCAGATTGCCTGCCCATGTGCAGCACTGCTGTCACACCAGCCTACCTGGGGACAACTGAGGCTCCCTTCCATGCACATCTATGGGCACCTAGCAAGAATGCCACCCCCTTCAAGAAGTAAACAGACCTTCTGAGTAGGGCTCTGCCCTCTTGCGCTTTGAGGAGGGCACACACTCAATGTTGGGTGAAAGTTGAGGAGCTGCCCAGGGTCAAGGTGACTGGGAACGACAGGGAGCTCAGTTCTGCATTTCAGAATGGGACCGAATCAGGAACCCAGGAGGAAGCCCACCTTGTGAGCAAGCAGGAAACGGGTCTGAAAGAGGCAAGGAGAGGTTTCAATTGGGGTCTACACTATACCCTCGCAAGGGGAGCATGCTGTGCAGGGCCACCCTCTAGCATTGCCCCAGTTCTCACGCTGTGGCTCCACTCACAGGAGAGTTCAATGAGATCCTAGAGGAACATTCACTCTCCTCCAGAAAGCAAGTCTGGCTTTCTTAAGTGAGCCAAACCTTTTGCTTCTCCCCACCCCCTTCCAGGCCCTGAACAGAGGACTGCAGGGTTAGGGTCAGCGGCTCAGAACACAACCAGTGGCTGCCTGCCGGAAGTATCTCTATGTTCTCTGTTAACTACCTCTCCCACATCTGGCTAATCTCTCTTCTTCTGCCTCCTCTCTTCCTGCTAACTGCTTGCTGACCTGTACAGATCAACTCTACCAGCAACTTGAACAAAACCGCCGTCTAACTAACGAACTAAAGCTGGCTCTGAATGAGGATTAGAACCCTCAGGGTGAAAACACATGGGTTGAATTCTAGGAATGCAACCCATGTGCAGAACTCTTAAGTCTGCTTTCCACGAATTGGCTTAAACAGTTGCTTTCTGCAGAAATGCAAATGAAAAGAATCGGCTGAAGGCCAACCTGGCCTGCAATTTCCTGTATGTGTCCGGAATAATTAAGTTCTCTTAAATCCCCAAGCAGCTTTTGTGATACAATACATGTATGATGTTTATGAGTAAACATGTCTAACAGTCCAGCTCTCTCCATACAATAGCAGGTCCTTTTGTCTGAACTGATATATAATGAGGATGAAAAAAAAAATGTTTTCCACAGACAACTATGAGTCCTGCTTAAAGTATATGCTTCTATTACAAATATGTGATTATAGACATTACATATTCATATTCATAACTCCCTCTGGTATCATATTTGAAATACAATTAAACATACCTATGCTTGGGCAAAATTGCTTTTGAAAACAGGAGCTCAATGTCAGAAGCTGGTTACATGAAAGGTATGCTATATCCAGTCTAATGGTGTTGGAGTCTGATGGGAATGTCATTGCTAATAAATAGGACACCATAGAAAATACCGAGACTGTCCTAATGAAGTGTGCATGAAACATATTGGTCGTTTTCCTACAAGAAATGCATTCCTTAAGAAGTTATCAAAAAACCTATAGATGTCATCATCAGTTTCTGTGAGCTTGTGCCCTAGCACAACTCCAGACCTTTAACTGCCTGTAGCTCTGCTATCATTAATTTCTGCCATCTGTGTAACCGTGCTGCAAGCTGAGTTTGTATTTTTTTTTAACCTCTCCCTGTTCCCACGACCCCTAGTCGATGAACCTTCACCAAACCCCACCTGCATTTTGTGCTGGGTGTGGATCGCTGGTAAAGGTGCACCTACCCCTCTTAAGACATTCTACTGTGCCCAAGGCGCCGTTGGGGTGGAGACACCCTCCCCTCCTAGGTCCCTGTCTGGAAATGAGTGATGTCTTCCAAGCATGCCTAGTCCTAATCATCTCAGCCTGTGTTTGTGATTGATGTTTGCCTGCCTGAATGTACGAAGCACCATGGTGCCCAAAGTGCAGCTATTCATGACTGAATTTTCTAATCCCACCACAGAGAAAGTGGCTCATGCCAAAGAAGAAAACCTTAGTATGCATCAGATGCTGGATCAGACTTTACTGGAGTTAAACAACATGTGAAACCTCCCTAACCGCGGCCACATTCTTTTCCGTTTGTTTTCATTTTGTTCTGTTTTTAAACACATGCTTTACCCTAAAACCCCTTACATGCATTTTTATTTACTTTCACCACGGTCACAAAGACATCTGCAGACTACCAGCCGGGTCCAGGGGTGGGAACAACACACACAGACGGGCAGAGCCCCTGGCAGGGCAGTAAGGGTTTAAACGTGCCATGTTCCAGTAGACGTTGCCACACTCTGTAGAGTTCAGCGACACAGTAGGTCTAGTCAGCATAGGACTCCTCACCAAACA